TTCTGAGCATTTGGTGATAGGGTGCTATTTGAGGTGGGAAGGGGGGGTACGAGGGGTATAGGTGGGGATTATAAACTTTATTTTTTTTCTGCTGGCTCAAATGAGACAAAATTTTGGTGGCATACACCTTATACAAGGTAGAAGCCACACGATTTTTTTTCAAAAGATTTTTTTTTTTTTTTTTTTTTTTTTTTTGCGCTAGTTCGAACATCCCCTGTCCGGTCTGACGTCCGATCAGACCTCCGGTCGGACATCCCGGACGGTCAGGGGGGTCCCGAACGTCCGATAAAACAACCTAGCAATATTCTAAAAAAAATGACATTGCTGATTATCACCACTTTGCCTGAAAGGGATGTGCGCGGACCTTTCCATGTAGTCATACTTCAATTTGCCACTCCCAGTGGTACATTTCTATTGTCTTTAAGTGTATCCAAAATTGTTAATCTTACACTAAAACCTAAGATTGTTTATCATATTTTTCATATCACAAAACCTAATTGAGACTTCAACAATGAAAACATTATTGATTATTAGTTTATGCAAATCCTCCTATTGCGAAGAAATTACGTTAAGTATTTAGTTTTACTCTCATATAAATAGGGGTCCGGGGTATTTCAAGCTCAATGTGTCCTTTCTTGATCTTCAGTTATCTTCATGCGTACACTTCTTATTTGAGTATCAATAAAAAATTATGTATATATGTTTCAATGGTTGACTTATCTATGAAAGACTGCAATTAACTAAAAAAAGAAAGTCAAATTAATATTCATTAAACACATTAGAGGAATTGGTAGTCGAAATACAACGATAAGGTAAACAACAACCTTCAATAAACTGCAAATGACAAGTAATCAACTACAATCATACTTAGAGGCATATAAAATCTAAGTTAGGATTTACCAAAAACTCTGCCGATAAACAACAACCTTCAATAAACTGCAAATGACAAGGTATAAATTACAATCATACTTAGACTACCATATGAAGGCATATAAAATCTAAGTGAGGATTCACAAAAGACTCTGCCTTAAAAACAATGGTTAAGACAATCTTCGATCAAGCTAAAACTAAAGCAGGATGCAACACGATGTTGAGTGTGCGTTATTCCTCTAATGATTATTGTTTCGCAACATATAATGTCCACATTATATTAGACTATATCATTTTGTACTACCGAAGAGTTTTCACCTCATAGGAAATCTCCCGCAATGGGTGACACACTCATCGAGCAGAAACAATTTCAACAATTTTTAATTTGTGTAATCTTTTATTTTCTCACTGCGCCGCTCCGCTATCAACATGGGACGGCTCGTGAGTTGGTGGCGCCTTGTTGGCACAGCTCCCTGCGAGGAATATCAAGGAGCTGATGTGGACGATGGGATTACGCCAACAGGCGATGGCACGAGGTTCCGTTGGTTTTATCTGGCACGACCATTGAAATGATGCTTCGGCTGAGGGTTCTTCCAACTTTGATAACCTAGGCTGAAAAGGTCTCTTGCTCCGTGCTTCGTTTATGTGGTGTCACGGGTTGACACGCTAGAGAAAGGGGAGGCTGTCAGGGTAATTAGGATAATCTTCATGAGATCTTGGGCAAGGTAGTGACCCTGCTCTTATGCTCTGCACGAATCTAGTGGAGGTTGGTTGGGCTGTGCGTGCAGAAAGTAAGGAACATCTTCTCATGTGGAGTGGGAGGAGGGAGGCTTGTTACAAGCTGGAGCGTAAAAAAGAGCTGGCAACTTCAAGCGTTCGTTTGAGCTGGTTAAACGGTTAAAGACACAGAAGCAGGTACCGACACAATAATGACAACGATGATGGAGCAAGAAATTTTTTTGTGAACATGTGTGGTGCTCTTCGCATTGGCCTTTTCAAATCGATTTCGCTGATCTCAATTTTGTATATGCTAATTTCCTATATTCTTGCTCTAATCTAATGCTTACACAATTATAAATTCAGTTGCTCAAATTCAAAAAAATAAACTCACAATCTTGTCCTCTGTTTTCTGATCATCCAAATTCTGATCTACATGTACACACATATACACATATGCACATATCCTTGAATTTCAACTATAATTTCTAACAAGTCTCAAGCAAAGTATTCTCTTCGAAATGTACACACATACACACAAACACATATTGTCCATTCTGAATCGCCAACGCAATTCGTAGGGATCTGTTTTATAATTACGTATCCTTTAATTTCGACTATAATTTCCAAAAGTCCCAAGTAACGTTTCTACCATGATTTTCTAATCTTGGAACCCGAAAACTTCAGAATCTCTTCGATAATTAGGTTTTGTTTCTTTTAAATTGGTGATACGTGCACATGATGGGAGTTGCCAGACGTCGATTGGCGCAAGAGGCTGCGCCATGTGTTTTTTTCAGTGGGTTGTTCTTAAAGATGTAGGGTGTTTTCGAGGGTTAGTGCATATTTTTGAAGAGGCCCTGCTTTTCCAAATTGCGAACGACCGGATCGTTTCCGGAGGGCTGAACGGTAGGAAGGGGGTGGGGGGAGCTCTTATCTTGCAGGGGCATCACAAGGTGGGAGGTGAATGTCTCAAAGAGGGTAGGTGTGGAGTAGGGGGTTGCCCTATTCTGGGGCAGGTGCTGGTGCGAGGGTCAACATCAGTCCCTGCGGAGGCACAAATGGGCAAGGGACGGGGGGGCATGCTAAAGCTGGGGACTGTGTGCTCTTGGGGAAAGGGGGGTAGAGGGTTGGTCCTATATTGGGGCCGAGGGAGAGTGGGTGACTCACCTTGGCTGAGGCAGTGTAGGGCTGAGGGGGGAGGGGTAGGGGGAGGGAGGGGCGATCTCTCTCGAATAAGTCTATCATTCAGTTTACTATTTCTTTCCATTTGGTTTGCCTCTCGAGGAGGTTGTAGGAATAGGTACTATCTAGCAAGTCAGCTGTGATCCTGCGAAGGGTGGTTGAAATTTCGGAGGCCCTCGAAGACCGATGCATGAGCAACGCTGGCCGGATCCGGAGCCAGGTGGTGCAACTCTGTGACCTAGCTTAGTGGGGGCGTGAGGCCTGGTAAAGAGCTCTGGGGGGCTGTTTGCGGGGGCAGTCTCAGAAGTCATCGGGGGTCGTAACTGGAGCAATGCTGGCCGGTGCTGGAGCAAGGTGGTGCAACTCTGTAACCTAACCTGATGGGAGCATGAGGCCTGGAAGAGCTTGGTTCGTGCTGAAAACAGCCATGCTGGTGGTGGTCGTAGGTGGATTGAATAGGTTTCACCTATCTGATTCGTGGTTGGGAGGCTTTTTGACACACATATTCTAGTGACTTGGTAGAGTCTGAATAGTGGAAAAAAAGTATGTTGTTGTTATGAATGTCTTAGGACTCTAGGGACTCTTAGCAACCCATCTTAGGCGGTTTCGATGCTGTTATACTCAGCGATCTGCGGCTGTTCGACGCCAGACCGACGCTGGCCGGTGCTGGGGTGTTGCCCTGTAACCTGCTGATGCAGGAGCGTGAGGCCTGGTAGAGAGATCTGGGGATGCTTTGGGGTGGGCATCCCAAGGGACAGCCAAGGGTTGCTGCTGGGACGACGCTGGTCGGAGCTGGGGCGAGTTCTATTGCCCTGTAACCCAGCAGGGTGGGGGCGTGAGGCCTGGAAGAGCTCAGCAGGGAGTAAGACTGTGTTGGAAAGTCGTAGAAGGGCTTGTTAGGGATCCTGAGGGTTGTGAGCATTCGTAGGACCTCTGTGGCAGCCTATTGCATGAGTAGTTCCTTAATAGGTCATTAGATATTCATGATCTTCCCCATGCTTTCTGAATCATATCATGTTCACAGACTGTTCTCAGCCAAAGCCGGGTAATGGCCCCGTTATCTCAAACGATCTCAAATGTTCTCAATGATCTATACAATTCGATATGGGACGCTGGGCCCGGTTCCCAGCACGTGCTGCTCCCCACGAATAGACTGGAGCATTTGTTTTCAAAACAAAATAAAATAAGTAAAATAAAATAAATTCTCTCCTCTCTCTCGTACTCTTTCCTCCGGCAGTCAGTACACCCCAACTTTACCAGATCCTGTCCCGCAGTTGCAGCCCTAATTACAGGCTCCCATTCCTCTCCCGTGCAATAAGCTCTCACAATTCTTGGTCTGGAAAATTCAACAATCAATGCTGGCGGGCCTCAGGCTATTTCATACGTTCTGTTCGATTTTCATTTGCAATCTGTATATGGGACGCTGGACCCGATTTCCAGCAGGTGAAGCTCCCCACCAATAGATGGAGCCTCCCCCCAGGTGCTAGCGGTGTCTGCTCTTACCAGCACCTCTAGCACTGCAGGGAGTTTCTTTCAAAAAAAAAAAAAAAAAAACATACACCTCGGGGATAATTCGGCACGTGCTGCAGCTGTCCCATGTTCTGATCCCTCTTTTCGACGACTTCTTCGGTTGCCTATCCTTACACTCTCGAGGCAACGGTATTCTCTTAGCTCTGTCTTTGGATATAAGTTGTGACATTATATAAGCTTGGGTCATGGAACTTGACTGTAATAATTAGCATGGTTGACTGGTCCTGTTTGACATGGTCACAGTCAGCTACTGAGTACGAAAAGGCCCCTCCCTGAGTGGTCCGAGAAAGTTCTTTCAAACTTTCAAGCTTTCCAACATATCAAACTCAAGCATGAATAAATTTCGCACGCCTTTGCCTAGCCCATTTTTATTAACCGCCAGTACCTTTCCCAGTTATCGGCCGCGTGCCCTGCGTGCCCAGTTTTGGCGGCTCATCTGGCCGCCGCCGGAGGCCGAGTGTGGTCTCCGTGTTAACCGCAGCGATTCGGCAGAATGCCTGGGAAAGGTACTGGTGGTTTAATTATCACGTCTCCAACGGCCCAACCATCCAATTAATTGTGTTCCGGAACTCGTGGTTCGTCACCTGTTACGACTTACAAGGACCTTCCTCTGGTCGCCATCGACATCGAGTAACTCCATAATTCTGGTCATTGGGAACAAGGCACTCATAGCTGTTGAATTTGGAGGGTGACAGTTCAGTTTGCCTTTCTGAAGTTTACTGTTGTTGGACATCTTTGGGACATGGCGATTCAGAGTGCCATTCGACTACCAGCTTCACCCGAATAGAAACCCCACTAAGGGCATACTCGCACACAAGTAGCAAAACAGCAAAATTTGCCACGTGCTACTCCCAGTTTGCTGTTTTGGTGTTTTGCGCAGCCACACAGGGGTAGCAAATTGGAAAAGACAACGCCCCGCCGCCATGCCATTTGTGAAATTGGCCACTTGTGCGGTCACACAATGAAAGTAGGCAAGGGATGCCTGCAATTAATTCTCTTCTGTCAGCTGACAGATTTGAGAGGGGGGGGGGGGGGGGGATGCCAGGACCTCTGGAGGTGCTGGCAAATTGCTCAACCCCACAGCCCTGCAGCCAGCTGACAGTTCCCACACCAGTTACGAATTTGATGGGGTGGGCGGGCAAAGAGCAACTGCAAAACCATCATAGCAATGTTTGCAATTTGCTCAAAAAAGCCCCTAGTGTGAGTAGGCCGTCGTTATGGCTCTCTGTCGCAATTTTCAGTCCAGATACAGTGATAATGACCGAGCGTTCTATTCGGGGAAGACGGTAGCTCAACCACTGTTGCATTTTCCAGTCCCAGTCTGCAAAACACTCCGCTTTCGGCTGTGAAAACCTGTGCTCGAGTACTTCTTGGAGGCTGCAGCAGTGCACGACTCCTTAATCAGGAGGCACGCAAGAAAAGCCCCTAGTGTGAGTAGGCCTAGTTATGGCTCCCTGTCACAATTTTCAGTCCAGATACAGCGATAATGACAGAGCGTTCTATTCGGGTGAAGACGGTAGCTCAACCACTGTTGCATTTTCTAGTCCCAGTCTGCAAAACACTCTGCTTTCGGCTGTGAAAACCTGTGCTCGAGTACTTCTTGGAGGCTGCAGCAGTGCACGACTCCTTAATCAGGAGGCACGCAAGAGGAGTCACCATCTGCCAGCGAGTCAACTCAGGATCTGTCGTAGAGTTGAGAGCCACATCGATTACATTTTATGTCTGTGGTGAATGATGGCAGCTTTCTTCTCCATTTGGTGGCAGTTGTGGGGATAGCGGGGTGGGGGAAGGAGATGCAACCCCACGATACCAGTGACAGCCCAAAGACCGTGGTTGAAAGAAAAGCAGCCCCTGCCGCCCACAAGCCAGAAGGATGAGAAGGGCGCGCCGAGAAGGCAAGAAAAGAAAACATTGATATGCCTCCTGCAAGCAACTGGAACATATTGCTCCCTCAATCGACTTCTTCCTCTAAGGACATTTCCATCGCCAGAATCTATGGCCACGAGCCAGCTCTTCTTCTTCTTCTTCAGAGAAGAAGGTTTCTTTCACCGTAGTCTATGGCCATGAAATCAACTCGAATTCCTCCCACAATATACATGTGTACGTTACCGCAGACAAGCTGCTACAGGGAAACAAGAGACGGAATAGAACAACACCTTTCCTCTCCCCCGTGACACAAACTCAAATTTCTCCCACAAATACATGTGGCAGAAGCAGCGACGAGGACACAAGATATGGAGTAGAACGGCGATATTCCTCTCCCAGCTTCGGTAGTTGAACAGCGTTCCTCTGGATGCAGGGATGACACTCACCCGAGAAGGAGAAGAAAAGAAGTCGAGGTGCTCTCAGGGGTTCCTGACAACGATTCCAACATCTCCGTCAACAAGACGACCAATCACGGCCGCATGAGCTAGACCATCCTCTCGCAGCTTCTGGAGGACTGTGTCAGTTGCAGAGGGATCCACTGCCACAAGCAACCCGCCGCTGGTTTGCGGGTCAGCCATCAAACTCTTCTGCCAGTTTTCCAGTGGTTGCACCGATTCTTCGTAGCTGATGTACTCCCCATAACTCTCTAGGTTCCTCTTAACAGCCCCTGGAAAAGTGCCCAGCTTGGCCACAGGGACAGCATGCTCCATGACAGGAAGATTTGGAAAGTCGACCACAGCTCTGACGCCGCTGCCTCTGCAAACTTCCAGCAGATGACCAAAAAGACCGAAGCCAGTCACGTCTGTTATGGCATGAACAGACGGGATGTCGGCAAGCACCGGGCCAACAGAGTTGAGACGAGTCATCGTCGCCAGAGCCTCAGCATAACCCTCAGGACCAAGTTTCCCACCTTTCAGAGCAGTTGTCATCACACCAACTCCGAGAGGCTTTGTAAGGACCAGATCATCACCTGCCTTGGCAGTTGAGTTGGCTTTCAACTTGTCTGGATGTACAGTTCCTGCCACCACAAGTCCGAAGATAGGTTCTGGCGAGTCTATCGAATGCCCACCTGAGACCCACCAGAAACAAATCAATAACCACCATGCCAGATACGTCAGAAACCAACAAATGCACACACACACACACACACACACACACACACACACACACAGAGTGCCATTCTTGTCAGGGGTTTGGACCGACAGTCTGCTAGGATTGCAGGGCTAGTGTGAGTGAAGTCCACCACTTTTATCAGAGGTATCGCTAACTCTGGGCGACATGGTGAGTCCTTAAGACTCCTTACCCATCAGTCAAATGCAACCTGGGCAGACTGTCAGGCTTCAAACCCTGATGAGTAGGTGGAAGTTCGCCGAAACAGTCTGGCACAGTCATGCTTTTTTTGTGGAGTTGCGTACAGCGAATATGACAACACACACACACACACACACACACACACACACACACACACACACACACACACACACGATTTCAGTGTGCATCATGTTGTCAACCATAGAAGATTCTAAGGTAAAGCCGGTTTCAATTTTGGATCTACTCATGTTGTCTGCTATAGAAGATTCTTGATTTATGCATGTCATCCTTGGGCAGGGGACATGCTAATCTTCTCTGTATTGTTCCAACTTTTAACGGATGTCCTGAAGGACTCTGCTATAGAAGATTCTAAGGTAAAGCTGTTTCAAGTTTGGATCTACTCTTCCGGGTGGAAAGGGGTGGTCGTGGTGACAGTTCAAACCACACAGGTAGGAGGTTAGAAAGGAGCTGAAGAAACAGGAAGCTGAGAGCAGCGGCAGTTGCGAAGCCTTGAACACACAACCTCCGGCACGTACCTCCCAGCTTCAGTAAAAGCACGCTTCTCTACCAGTATCCAGCCCACCCCTCCCCTTCTCCTCTGATGCGGAGAAGTGCAGTACCAGGCAGACCCCACACCCGACCCATCAAACCAGAATCGGTAAAAACTGCCTAGGGAGTCAGCAAAACAAGCGGGCGATGAAATACAGCCTACATATATTGTCACACTGTGAATCAGAGCGTGAAGGCGAAAAAAAGCAAAACAAGGAAAGGAAAAGAAGGAAGGAAGGAAAGCCCCACCTGTTCATCACCTCTTACGTACGGACGCTCTCGCCTTTCAAGAAACTGCAAACTGGAGGTATCCCATGCTCCGCCGCTCAAAAGACCAGAACCAACATCCGAACGATCTCCTGTATCTCGTATTCGATTCCACCGGGATTGAGAAGCCATTTAGCTCCTCTCTTTTGTATGCAATCGGGTCTGGTCTTTTTTCTTTCTCTTCTCTTTCTTTTTTTTTTCTTTTTTCTTTTTTAATCGGGTCTGCTATCATCAATCTCTGTTGCTGAATGATGAAAAATTTGTTCCTAACTGCATCTCATTTGTCGTCCAAAAGTTATCGGCTCTGAAAACAAGGGGGCAATGAGCGTACTCCTTGCTCCTCCACTTGAAAGACCAGAACCAGCATGCGAATGCATCGATCGTACTACTCTTGATTTCATGCTTTCGATCGATGCATGCTTGTCTTCAAATGGCATGATCCAAAAACCGCCATTCGATCGATGGCAATGGACATCTATTCGTACGACCGAATGGATAGAAGGACGTACGCTCTCACCTTCTTTGGTAAGCGAAGTGCTCGAACACATGTCTTTTTTCTCTAAATTTCAAAAGATTTGATAACGATCGCTACTTTTGCAGTCGTTTGTTCAAGCGAGTTTTTGATCGAGAGCTCATTGTTCTGTACTCGAGCAGAGTCTTCGCGTCTGATCGATCCGGATTAGTATTTAGTATTTACCATGGTTACATTCCGCACGTCCGGACCAAGGTCCAGACAGTCCGGAGTACCATGTCCGCGTGGACGTACGGTCCGGAGGTTCCGGAAGGTGCCAAATCCAGAGGATTTTTTTCTTTTAAATGGGTCGGCCTGGACCCTTTATTGGGTCGAGGCCGACCCCAGAAAATTGTGTGGGGTAATTTTTCGACCCGTTGGGCCTCTGCAGACACGGCCGGACGCACGCTTCTTAGGTTTAAATATATATTTTTTTCGTTCATTCTGCAGTCTTGGTGTGGCCTCGTTTTTGGGGGGAAACGAGGTCTGTTCGAATCGAAACTCCCCCCGCCCGCCATTCAGCCCGCTGGTATACTTTCGACACTCCCCCCGCCCACCATTCACCCCGCTGGAATGTGACGAGCTGATGACGTCCTCGTTGCAGCGCTTCCCCCATCGCCGTCGCCGTGGCTGCTCCTGCCCTGCCGTGTGCACGTGGTCGCCGTCATCGAGCCAACGTCGCCATCAGACAGACACACACACACACACACACACACACACACACACACACACACACACACACACACAGAGAGAGAGAGAGAGAGAGAGAGAGAGAGAGAG